GTCTTTTCTGACACCATAGTTCAAAAGCATTGATTCTTCAGCACTCAGCTTTCTTTATAGCCCAACTCTCACATCCATACATGACTACTAGAGAAAACCCTAATCTGACCCCAAAAGAGACTGACCCAGACTTGCCTGTGAGTGTCCAGGAGTCTCCGGCAGAGGCGTGGGTCGGCGGCGGCCTGCTATGGGGTCGGGGACCCTGAGTGGAGCAGTGTATGGGACATTTTGAAGGAGGTCGCCATTTTCTTCATTGCCTCCACCATAGTTTAATCTCAGGTCAAACAACAGGGAGTGAACACAGCCCTGTTCATCAACAGAAAATTGGATTAAAGATTTACTGAGCATGGCTCCACCCATCAAGACAAGACCCAGTTTTCCCCGCAGTCAGTCTCCCCCATCAGGAAGCTTCCATAAGCCTCTATCCTTATCCCTCAGAGGGCAGACAGAATGAAAACCACAATCACAGAAAGGTAATCAAACTGATCACATGGACCACAGCCTTGTCTAACTCAATGAAACTATGAGCCATGCCATGTAGGGCCACCCAAGATGGACGGGTCATGGTGGAGAGTTCTGACAAAACATGGTCCACTGGAGAAGGCAATGACAAAAGACATACATAAATGGAAAGATAGCCTATGCTCATGAATTGAAAGACTTCATATTGTTACAATACCCATATTACCCCAAATGATTCACAGATTCAATGCAATCCCAATTAAAATTTCAATGGTAGTTTCAACATACACAGAAAAAATAATTCCTAAAATTTGTGTGAAGCCACAAGATAATCTAATAGCCAAAATGGTCTTGGGAAAGAAAAACAAAACTGGAGGCATCACACTTCCTAATTTCAAACCATAAAGAAAAAAACTCAGCTTTTATCTCTATGTGGGGAAAACCCCAATGGTTCCCCACTGTATTTCTTCCCTGTGTGTCTCCTTTACCTTTAGTAGAACACTCCTTCTTAGACGTCTGGGGACCAAATGCATGGAGGACCTTACCCACATCAAGCAATTCTCTGCAACATCACCTGAGTGTCCTACACTACAACTATGACACTCTATACCCAGACATTGCATCACAACCCACAGATTAAAAGCTCAGCCTTATAAGACTACTCTCATCCCAACTCAGTTGCCATTCAGAAACCCAGTTTATGTCCTGTGGCCATGACCAATTGGCTATAGATTGGAGGTTACAAAAACTTCCTCTTTGAGTCTGATCAATTTTCTAGAGCAGCTCACAAAACTCAGGGCCATACTGCCTCACATTTATCAGTTTATTAAAGGATATAATAAAGGATGAACTTCCCAGGTGACTCAGTGGTAAAGAATCTGCCTGCCATTGAAGGAGATGCTAAGAAAAGCATGCTCAATCCCTGGGTTGGGAAGATCCCTTTGAGAAGGAAATGGCAACCCACTCCACTAGCTCTAGCCTGGAAAATTCCATGGACAGAGGAGCCTCATGGGCTACAGCTCGTGGGATCACAAAGAGTCAGACATGACTGAGTACTCACTCACCTCACCACCATAACAAAGGTTACAGATGAACAACCAGATGAAGAGATACCTCAGGCAAGCTCTAGGAGGGACCCAAGTGTAGGAACTTCTGCCCACATGGTCTGGGGGTATGTCACCCTCCTGATGTGAATGTCATCATCAGCCAGGGAGTTCTTTGTGGTTGCACCATTGGGATTTTATGGAGATTTCCTCATGTAGGGGTGGTCAGTTATTAATGCCTTGTCTGGCCTCTGCCCTCTCTGGAGGATGGGAAAGGGAGGGGGCAAAACTTGCAAACTTTTAATGATGGCTTGATCTTTCTAGTGACAAGTCTCCATCCAGAAGCCCTGCAAGGGTCACCTCAACAGAACAAAAGATGTTCCTAGTGCTCCTATCATGAAAATTTACTAGGGTTTTATGAGCTGTGTTGGGGTAGAATCAAAGACAAATATTAGAACAAGAGATCCTCCTAGTAAACACCTAGAAAATATCAAGGATTTTAGGAGCTTTGTGTCAGGAACAAGGAGCAGAGACCAACACATATATTTTATATTATCTCATGTAAACTATATTACAAAACTACAAAAATCAAGAGTATGGTATTTGCATAAAAACAGACACACAGATTAATGGAAAAGAACAGAGCACTCAAAAATAAACCCATACATATAAGATTAATTATTTTACAACAATGGAGCCAAGAATAAACAATGAACGGAGGATGGTCTCTTCAGTAAATGGTGTTAGTAAAACTCTACAGCCACATGCGAAAGAAAGAGGCTGAACCATCTCACACTATACACAAAAATCAACTTAAATGCATTGAAGAGTTGAATGTAAGACCTGAAACATTAAATATCTGGAAGAACACGAGGGGGTAAGCTCCTTAACATTGGTCTTGACAATTTTTTCTTTGATTTGACACTCAAAGTAAAGACAACATATGCAAAAAATAAGCTATTACTACATCAAACTAAAAAGCTTCTGCGTATCACACATAAAAAGATGCTCAACATGATCAATCATCAAGGAAATGCAAACCAAAACCAAAATGAGGTATCACTTCACACCTGTGAGAATGGCTAGCATGATAAGGGATAACAAGAGTTGGATAGGATGTGTATAAAAAGGACTCATATAAATTGATGCAGCTACTATGAAAAAAGAGTAGTTCCTCAAAAAAATAAAATACAGAACTGCTATATTATCCTGCAGTTTCACTTCTGTGTATACATCAGAAGGGGAAAATAAAAATGTGCCATATATATATATATTCAACCATAAAAAGAATGAATCTTTCCATTTTTTATAATATGAATGAACTTCAAAAGCATTATACTAAGTGAAACAAGTTGAACAGGGGACGACAAATACTGTATTATCTTATTTACATGTGAAATCTAAAAAGAACGAGCTCATAATTGCAGAACAGATTGGTGGTTGCCAGAGAAGGGGGCAGGTGGGAAGTGGGGAAAATGAGTGAAGGTGGTCAGAAGACACAACCTTCCAGTTATAAGATAAATAAGTTCTGGGTGTATAACGAACAGCAGGATGACTATAGCCAACAATACTGTATTGCATATTTGAAAGTTGCTGAGAGAATAGATCTTATAAATTATTACAAGAAAACTTTGCAACTATCTGAGGTGATGGATGTTAACTAGACTTACCATTCTAATCATTTTTCAATATGTACATATATCAAATCATTATGATGTACACCTTAAACTAATACAATATTATATATCAACAAACTGGAAATAATTAAAACAAATATATGTTACCGAAAAAGTTAATATCATCTGAGAACACCCATACAGAAACTCTCAGGATAATTTTTGACCATATATCTGGTTATCTCATAGCCCAGTCAAGCTGACTCATAAAATTAACCATCACAAGTATCCAACAGGATACTATGGAAGTAACATAGTATGAGTTCTGAGACTAAATTTTAAATGACATTGCGACTTCTGCTTTTTTCTCTTGTTCTGTAAGAAGACAGTTGGCATATCACAAGGACACTCAAATAGTCCTAGGGTGCGGTCATCCTAGTAAGGATGTCTGGCCTCCAAACTACAGCCATGTGAGTGAGTCATCTTAGACTTAGATCCTCCAGCCTCAGTCCAGCTTTCAGATGACTGCAGTTCTGGCCAATGTCTGGACTGCAACCTCGTCAAAGCTCTCAAGCCAGGACCACCTTGCTTATGTGCTCTCAAATTCCTGACACACAGCAATTGTGTGAGACACTGTGTGTTTATTCTTGCTTTAAATTAATAAGTTAAGGTTAATTTGCTACCTGCAGTAGGTAACTAATTTAAGAGTCGTTAAACAAAAATAATTGCTGTGTACTTTCAAAACTTTCAAGGTCAGGAAAACAAAAAGACTGACGATCTTTATCAGAATAAATGAGAAAAAAAAATCAAATGCAATGCATGATCCTAGAATGACTCAACGCCAGAAAAAAAGCAGGTGTGTGTTCATTTGTGCATGAGTTGGCACTTGCTTTCCCCCACTTTTTTGCCATAATAGCGAATATTAGATGATTGGAGAAATCTGTACTGTCTGTCCCTTAGGTAATACATTAATTTCCTGTTTTTGCTCATTGTACTGAAATTATGTAAGACTATAGTCTCATTTTTAGGAAATACATATTGAAGTATTTAGAAGAGGGGCATCATGCCTGTAACTCATCTCAAAGAGTTCCAAAGTAAAAAATTATATAATTGTAATCATATACACTTATAAACCTATATGTGTATATATCTAAATCTCTATATAACTATATCATAGTTATTTATCTAGAAAGAGGGAGATCCGGAGAATGAAGAAGAAAATATAGTAAAACGTTAACATTTAGAGAATCTGGGTGATGGATGTGTGGGGATCCTTTGTATTATTTTTGCAACTTTTCTGTATCAGTTATTGCAAAATAAAAAGAAAAGGACATTTGAGGTGGTTGCTATTCCTTAGTTTCCTTTGTAAGTAAACGGTTTTCAAACGGAAGGTTGGAAACATGAATAACTTTTGAAATGAATTTAGCGAATCCAACCCAGAATTTTCAAGAGAGAGAAAGTGGAGGAAGGGGAAAGGGGAAGGGGGAGAGGAGGGGAAGGGAGGGGAAAATACGGGAGCGGAGGGAGGAAGGGTTGGACGGGGGAGGAGAGGAGATGATAGAATAGGACAGGACAGGAGAGCGCCAGAGGTTGGTCAGGGTAGTGCTATTTTGCTTCAGATCCCCAGCGGCAAAAGTAGATGCCCTGGGCTGCGCGGTCCGAAAAGTTGGAAAGCGACTGCACGGAAGACTGGAATCTGAGCCAAACAGTGAATCAGAGTTTCTCCGCCCGCCGGCCCCGGGCCCCCTCACGGCGCGGCCCCGCCCCCAGCGGCCGGCAGGTGTGCGCCCGGCCTGCACGTGGTGCCAGATGCTACTTAAGGGCCCACCTTCCCCGGCTTGCGGCTGCCAGCTTCTCTAGCCGTGTCTTCCCGGAGCTGCCGGAGGCTCGCGGGTCTCAGAACGCATCCCGCCGCTGGGGCTGCAGCCGCGGCATGGGCGCCGCGGGCCCCATCTGGGTTTTCTTGACTCTCCTCGCGCCGGGGGTCCTCGGTGAGCTGGGAATGGGATCGCGGAGGTAGGGACGCGTCTGGGGGCCGGGATGGCCTCTGTGCCACGATGCAAAGGAAGCAGTCAAAAGTGAGAAGGTGGGACGACCTTGCCTGCCTCTCGCTCGCTTTGGGGCACCTCTCTTGGTCCTGAAGGTCTTCGCTCGCTGCTCCCGTGCTGGGGCCACCAGCATCGCAGGCTGCATGACGGAATGGCACTATGTGATCTGTCCAGTGGGTCCTGTGGCGTGACGTGCCCGCTCCGTGCCGCCAGGACAGCCTGTGTTCAGCGCTCTGGGTCCCGCAGGTCTGTGAGCGCTAATGCCCAGACGCTTATCCGAAACCTGCTCGTGCTGAGTGCAGTTGCATGCTCCGCTAGGCGCGGGAGTTTCTGCACACGCTGAACGCCCTCCTGCCTAGTAAAAACAGCGCAGCCTCCCGCTGCCCTCCCAGAAAAAGAATACTGTCTGATTCCCCAGGCGAGATTCTCATATATTTTTAAAATTTTGATGTGATGTTGGTAGAGAGATTCTAAATGATAAACATCTGGAGCTACTTACAAAAGCTGATATGTGAATAAAAACTGCAATTCTTTGTGTTATTTATTGGCAAGGGCACCAGAAAGTGTCATTCAACGTTTATTATAATTTTCTTCCTCCAGACTGGCTTAATTTTAAATTGTAATTTAAATTGTAAATTAAATTACATTGTAATTTAAGATAGGAGTCCCTTGGTAATAAGCTAGGTATAACCATCTAATAATTTTCAGAGGACAGTGGATAAGAAATTTACTGTATACAGACCTCAATACCTACGTGACTTTTAGCAAGTCATTTCGTTCCCAAGCCTCAGTTTCTTGATCTTTAAAAGGAAGCTAGTGATAAGCAGCCCTACCCTTACTGGACTGCCCTGAATATCAGATGAAATTAGGCAAATGAACGCTGGATGTTCGATGTTATTACTAAATGCCAGTAATAAGATGACTATCTGGATCTGTTTTGATAGAGTCAGCATTTAAGTTTGACCACTGCCAACTTGCTAGGGGATATTGCATACTTTGGTTCTATTACAGTTTACTTTGTCAGCTTCCTGATGTTCAACTTTTTCCTGACCCTTAATTGAGCATTTCCCCAAACCATTATCTTCTCTCTCTTCGAACAAATGTACTTTCACAACTTTCTCTAACACATCTGTGCAGCATTGCTCCTGACCAGACTTCTTGCCAGCGTTCCATTCATTTTTCTAAATTTCAGAGAGGATGTTATCAACTGAAAATCAACTTCTTAGCAACCCTGTCAATTCATTGTTCCCCCAAGGATGCCAGAGCATCCCCTTCCAGTACCAGAGCAGGAGTATCCTCTCAGTCACTTAACTCCAGACACATGAAAGAGCAGGTTTACTGAACTGTCAGCTGTCATAACTAGTGTGCTTCTGTTGTTTGTCTTCTCATTCTCATACCAATATTCCAATCATTCTCATCATGATTACCTTTGTAACAACCTCCTCTCTTACAGGTTATTCTGATACCTGTCTAACCTTTCCAATCATGAAAACTAAAATTAAAATATCTTTTCCATTATTTCACTCCCTTGCTTAAAAATCGGAAAGGGCTTCCTACTGACTGTGGAATTAAAGTTAAATCTGATGCCTTCAGTCTTTCAAGCCTTTGGATCTCACTTAAGCATACCCCTCCTGATTCCCCACCGCTTCCTGGTCATCTTGCCTATCTGTCACCCCATGATCTCTTGCTCACGCTCTGCCCATGCCCTCCTCCTGACTTTTGCTCCTACTATGTACCCTCTCCTGTCCATCCCTTGGCTCTTGGCCAGTTCCTGCCTCTGAGCTTGCTTAAGAAACTCTTGACATTCCTTTTACAAAAAGTGTGTATACATGTATTTTTCCAGTTTCATTGAAAAATAATTGACATACATCACTAAGTTTAAGGTGTAAGCATGATGGCTTGATTTGCACATACTGTAGAATGATTACCATAGTAAGTCTAGTTAACATCCATTTAGTTAACACAAGATGAAAAGAAAAGAAAAAAATTTCTCCTTGTGATGAGAACTTAGGACATCTTCTATTAACAACTTTCCCACACATGATAAAATCATGTTAATTACAGTTATCATGTTGTACATTACATTGCTATACTTATTTTTCATATAACTGGAAACTTAAAACTTTTGATCACCTTCCTCCAATTCTCCTCCCATTGGTCTGTCTTCAGTAACCATAAATCAGATTTCTTTTTTCTATGAGTTTGGTATTTTTGTTTTTAGATTCCACATATAAGTGAAATCATACATTATTTGTATGTCTCTGACTTATTCACTCAGTATAATGCCTTCAAATATCATCCATGTTGTTGCAAATGGTAGGATTTCCTTGCTTTTTAATGGCTGAATAATATTCCATTGTATATATTCATCCACAACTTCTTCGTTCATTCATCTGTTGATGGACAACTAGGTTATTTCCATGTGTTGGCTATGTTTACATGTGTAAATAATGCCACTATGAACATGGGGGCATAGATATCTTTTCAAGCTAGTGTTTTCATTTTCTTTGTATATATCCCTAGAAATGCAATTGTTGAATTATATGATAGTTCTATTGTTAATTTTTTGAGAAATTATGGTACCTTTTTATAATACAGTCTTCTGGGTTCTTTTTTTTTTTTTTTCTTATGGGTTCTATATTACCTTCCAGAGAAATGTTTGGGAGTTGGTCTAGTAATTCAAGATTTAACAAGCATTCTGGAAAATTCTGAAGCAACTGTCTTAAAGACCAAATTTCCTTCTCAGAGTGGTTTTGTTTTTCTCCTTTTGTCTATTTGCATAAACCAATTCAAATTTCCTACACTCTTAAATTTCACTCTTACCTTGACTGACAGCCTCATCTCATCCAACACTAAGGAAACAAAATCATTAAGAGAAATTCCCCCACTTTCCAATCATTTACCTCTGTCTTAAATCAGATCCTTTTCTCTCCTCTGCTTAAAACCTGCCAAGGGTTTCCCATCACATTGAGACAAAATCTGTGCTCCTTAAACTCAATGCCAAGCCTCTGTCTCTCTCTGAAATTCTCTGTATTCCTCACTCACCACGTCTGTTCCAACCATGCTGACCTTCTTTCTGTTCCTTAGTTGGAGTCACACTTGTTTAGCTATTGCACTAGGTGTTCCCCTGTTAAATACTTGTCTACAGGTCACCCCTTACCTGTGTCCTCAACATTCAGGTCTCAGACCCACAGTTATTCTTCTCTGACTCTCTGACCCTTACCTGAAGTAGTTCTTGCCCCAGGTCACTCTATCACATAACCATGTTCTTTTTTCCACAGAGCACCTATCATCATATAAAACCTAATTTATTTACTTGTTTGTTCCCTTACCAGACCATGAGAGCAAGGCCTTTATCTGTATTATTGCCTGATGAATCCCCAGCATTCGCAGATATCTAGGAGTTCAGTAAGAAAGTTCTATTTTCTTTTATAACAATGGAAGAAGTATCTTTCCTCCTGAAAAATCAGCTCCTCTTTCTGTATTCATGATCACAATCCATCCTCTCTTTCCTCTGCAGATATCCCCTGTCTTGTATCATCCATTTGTATCTCTCCCATGGGTGGTCCCCACCAGCAGTTAAATATGCCCCAGGGCATCCTTTCTTTGGTTGCAGGAAGAGGCTTCTCATGACCCAGTGGCATTCCACATTTTTGTCCTTTTTCTCATCTTTCTCAGGAAAAGTTCTCATTGACTTCTTTCTCACATTTATTGTTCTCATTAATCCTCTCCAAACAGGCTTCTTTCCGCACTATTATCCTGAAGCTCTTCTCATCAGTGTCAGTACTGACCTTCTGCTAACAAATCCAATGGTAATTTTTCTATCTTTACCTTTCTCCGTCTTTCAGCAAAAGCTGACTGATTTCTGCCTCTTGAAACAGTTTTCATTATCATCTTCCAAAGCAAGACACTTTAACCTATTTTTTCCTATTTTTACCTATTTTCTCTGGTTACCTTTAGTCTCTTTTGCCCAGATATCTCTAATATTTTCAGAGGGTCTTAGGGTTCAGTCCTGGGCCTCTTCTGTTTTCCTCCATACTTTCTTCCTAAGAGAACTATACAGTCTCATGACTTTAAATACTATTTATATGTTGATGACTCATATGTATTATCTGTAGCCCTGAGTTCTCTCCTGAGAGGCAAATTTGTGCATACAGTTGCATTTGCATCTTAATGTCCATGGAGTATGTTAAATACACCAACTCTAAAGTGGAACCAATTCTGTACATTCCCCACAACACACACATGCGCACGCGCACACGCGCGCACGTGCACACGCACACGCGCGCGCGCGCACACACACACACACACACACACAGGTCCATTCCAATCTCAATACATTGTATTACCATCAACCAAGTAGCTCAAATCAAAAGCTTAAAAGCCATTTATTAGGTTTTTCCTGGTGTTCCAGTAGTTAAAACTCTGTGTTCCCAATGCAGAGGGCTTTGGTTTGATCCCTGGTCAGGGAACTAGATCCCACATGCTTCAAATAAGTCCCAATATAGTCAAATAAATGAATAAATAAATAAATTTTGTTTAAAAAATCCTGGAGCCATTACTGAATACTCCCGTTCCCTTAGCCCCACATCTAGTACAATAGAGTCCTGCCAATTTTATTTCTACAATATATTCCTAGTTTATCTGTTTCTCACTGTCTCCTTGTATCCACGCTTTATTTTGTTTGGTCTAATTTACTTTAATAGCCTCCAGACTGCACTCCCTACTTCTGAAAGTAAAAGTCCAGTCCATTCTCCATCCAGCTACCAGACTATTCTTTTCAAAAGTTAAACCAGATCACATGATTCTCTTGTTTGAACTCTCCAATGACATCCACCCAAAAAAACTTAGTGACATCCTACTGTAGACTAAGAAGCCCTGTGCAATTCTTTCTGCTGGGCTTTCTAGCTTCATCCCATTCCACTCTGATCACCAAATTCCAG